TATATTTTAAAATATATATGGTTATTTTTATCTGCAACGACTGCAAGGTTGACGTGCTTTCCGTTTTCGTGTAATCTGGAACATTATGTAAATGTTTCAATGTGTAAATATTATATCTGTCGATAATGAGTAACGTTTCAATGTATACTTACTTTTGATGGAATAGTGTTTTCAATAAACGCTAAGTTTTCAATAAAATGGTTGCTGACTATTCTTAATATATTTTTCGCAGTCTTGACGTGTGAGCTTTGTTAGAGTAATCCTAGGTTCTAATAGACTTATTGGAATATCTTTGGGATCTATAGTAACTTGTATTTTTTCTTCACAATTTTTTCCAGTATTGTCTATCAAAGATATATTTGGAATATTTTCGTTTCCTGAAGCGTGATGAGGCAAGTTAATAAGAATGTAAGTCAGACATGCATAATACAGTTAATAATAACTTTGCATATTTATATGTTGTTCATAACAAACAGTTTCGGGTAGTCCGACAAATAATTCCTCTTCATAATTTTTGTCATTTTTATTTTGCAAAGATATGTCTAATACACTTTCCTTCTCTAGAGCATGATAAAGATAGTTATCTCTTTAAAAAATAATTGTTAGTAAAATATAAAAATTATTGTTAATACTAACCTTGCATATGTACGTGTTCTTGATGTAGAATGTTTTTAGATATTCCGATCAATATTCGCAAAAATTGTTCAATGGGTAACTTTGAAAAATATTTTAATATAACGTTATATATATATATATATATATATATACATGTATGTGTGCTTGTGTCTTCAAGTAATGTTAGAGAATAATTCTTTTTTGACGGGGCCTAATATTCATCTTATACAGGATGCTAAATTTCAAACGTAACAGATAAAAAATTTTGAAAACTATGAAAGATTAACTTATCGACCTTTGGAAATTTCAAATTATTAAATTAACAAAAGTTAGGGCACTATTATAGTATTATATTTTTGATAGTAAATAAAGTAAAAAGGTATAATACTATTTTTTCTTTCGACGAATAGTTTACGAGATATCGTAAGTTAAATGTTGAAAAAGTTACCTCAAAAAGTTTTCCTCAAATATTTAAAAAAATATTAGGCAAATAAAGAAATGTTTCAGACAAAAGTTGTTAAAATTAATTGATATAAAAAGAAGATATAATAAAAAATTGGACTTTTTATTTTAAAAAATTAAGTTGACCTTCAACTGACCTTGAAAATGCCCTGCAAATAAAAAACTGATAATGCCATTCTCTTTCCCCTTCGAAATCATGGAAAACGTGTTTTAGTTTTATCAATATCTTTCATAGTTTTCAAAATTTTTTATCTGTTACGTTTAAAATTTAGCACCCTGTATAAGATGAATATTAGGCCCCGTCAAAAAAGAATTATTCTCTAACATTACTTGAAGACACAAGCACACACACATGTATATATATATATATATATATTGGGTGAGTGCAAAAGTTCGTGCGGAGTTTCAATAGATGGAGTTATAAGCGTCGTAAAGTGTTGTCATTAATACTTCCATCTACATATTATATAACGTTGGAAAGGTGACGTCTTCAGCTGTTATTAAAAAAAAAATCATTTGTTTACATACAAACTGCTTCGAGAAATATCACTTTAAAAATGAGTATCGATAAGGTGCATTTACGGCATGTTATGCTTTACGAGTTTCGGAAGGGAATAAACGTTGCCGCAGCCGTAAAAAACATTCAGGATGTTTATCAGGATGAAGCACCAGCTAAACGAACTGTGGAAAAATGGTTTGCTAAATTTCGGCGCGGAGAATTTAACCTTGAAGACGAGCCACGCTCTGGTCGACCTTCTGACATTGATGACGATGTTTTGCGTACTTTAGTGCTCAATAATCCGCGAATTTCAACAGAAGAAGTTGCTACAGCACTAAACGTTGACCGATCAACCGCTTTTCGGCGTTTAAAAAAGATGGGATTCGATTTGAAGCTCGATATATGGGTGCCCCATTTGCTGACCGAGAAGAACAAAATCAAGCGAATTTCTGCAGCCGTTTCTTTACTCGGGCGACTCAATAACGAGTCATTTTTGGATCGACTAGTGACAGGCGATGAGAAATGGGTCCTCTACAACAATGTTCAGCGCAAACGGACATGGAAACAATCAGGTGAGCATGGTGACGCAATGCCAAAGGCCAGTTTGCACCCGATGAAGGTGATGCTCTCTGTTTGGTGGGATTGCAAGGGCATAATCTATTTCGAGCTTCTCCCCGCTGGCGAAACGATTGATTCGGACAAGTACTGTCGCCAATTAACCAATCTGAATCGAGAAATAAAAGAGAAACGTCCGATTTTGTCAAATCGCAAGGGAGTCGTCTTTCATCACGACAACGCCAGACCACACGTTTCGAAAAAGACGCTGCGCAAACTGAAGAGCCTGAAATGTCTTAACGCATCCACCGTATTCTCCTGATATCGCACCATCTGACTATCACTTGTTCCGGTCATTGCAAAATTATTTAAATGGAAAAAACTTTGACTCTTTGGAGGCCTTAAAAAACGGCGTCTCTTCGTTCTTCGAATCTAAACCGCGCAGTTTTTATGATCGAGGCATCCGTATGCTGCCAGAACTTTGGGAAAAGATTATAGAAAACGATGGAGAATATATCATTGATTGAATAAAGATTTTTGTTTGCCTAATCATGTGTGACTTTTACTCACAAACTCCGCACGAACTTTTGCACTCACCCAATATATATATATATATATATAACGTTATATTAAAATATTTTTCAAAGTTACCCATTGAACAATTTTTGCGAATATTGATCGGAATATCTAAAAACATTCTACATCAAGAACAGGTACATATGCAAGGTTAGTACTAACAATAATTTTTATATTTTACTAACAATTATTTTTTAAAGAGATAACTATCTTTATCATGCTCTAGAGAAGGAAAGTGTATTAGACATATCTTTGCAAAATGAAAATGACAAAAATTATGAAGAGGAATTATTTGTCGGACTACCCGAAACTGTTTGTTATGAGCAACATACAAATATGCAAAGTTATTATTAACTGTATTATGCATGTCTGACTTACATTCTTATTAATTTGCCTCATCACGCTTCAGGAAACGAAAATATTCCAAATATATCTTTGATAGACAATACTGGAAAAAATTGTGAAGAAAAAATACAAGTTACTATAGATCCCAAAGATATTCCAATAAGTCTATTAGAACCTAGGATTACTCTAATAAAGCTCACACGTCAAGACTGCGAAAAATATATTAAGAATAGTCAGCAACCATTTTATTGAAAACTTAGCGTTTATTGAAAACACTATTCCATCAAAAGTAAGTATACATTGAAACGTTACTCATTATCGACAGATATAATATTTACACATTGAAACATTTACATAATGTTCCAGATTACACGAAAACGGAAAGCACGTCAACCTTGCAGTCGTTGCAGATAAAAATAACCATATATATTTTAAAATATACGTTATATTTTAGTATGCGTGCTTCCTACTGTTCTTTTGTTGGCTTGTTATATAATTGTTATGTAATTATGTAACACACATTGTTTCGGAAATGTTTATAATACATATTATTAAAGAAAATAACTTTGAATATTAGCATATTATAAGTAATTTTTTTTAAGCATTATATAAGTAATTTTTATATAATTCACCTTAAAGTATTGTGAGAAATTAGCAGTAAATACTTTCAACCTAATCTTGCATACAGCCTTAGTCTACAACACATTTCAGTACGTAATGCTTAACATATATAATACTGTTATATTGGCCACAAATCTACTGTCTTAGAATGTGTGCGATAAACGTCATAAAGAATATGTATTAAAAAAGATGCTGACAATTCTAAATGTTTTTATACTCTTCAAATAAAAGTAAGACATGTTTATGGCATATATATTTTGTACACCGATGAAATTTGTGCTTTGCAAATGGAACAAGTTTTAACATCATCACTATCTTGCATGATTTGAACTAGAACAATCTGCACAAGTGCAGAAGTGACCGCACAGTATGAAAAGCTGAGTCGATTCGGCAATAACGCACATAAATAAGGCACGTACGATCAGATTTTATTTTTTCTTCACTTTTTTTGCACCCCGTTTCCTATTGTGTCCGTTTTCTATTGTGTCCGTTTGTTACTGTGCCCGATTGCCATTGCGTCCATTTCTTCCTGTGTCCGTTTCTTACTGTCTCCGATTGCAACTACAGTGTGTCCGTTTCCTACAGTGTCCGTTTGTTACTGTGTCCGATTGTCACTGTGTCCGTTTCTTACTGTGTCCGTTTCTCACTGTGTCCGTTTGTCACTGTGTCCGATTGCAACCATAGTGTGTCCGTTTCCTGCTGTGTCTGTTTCATGTTGTGTCTATTTTTCTGTGTCCGATTCTCACTGTGTCCGTTCCTTACTGTGTCCGTTTCTCACTGTGTCCGATTGCAACCACCGTGTTTCCGTTTCCTACTGTGTCCGTTTGTTACTATGTCCGATTGTCACTGTGTTCGTTTCTTACTGTGTCCGTTTCTCACTGTGTCCGTTTCTCACTGTGTCCGATTGCAACCACCGTGTGTCCGTTTCCTACTGTGTCCGTTTGTTACTGTGTCCGATTGTCACTGTGTCCGTTTCTTACTGTGTCCGTTTCTCACTGTGTCCGATTGCAACCACCGTATGTCCGTTTCCTACTGTGTCCGTTTGTTACTGTGTCCGAATGTCACTGTGTCCGTTTCTTACTGTGTCCGTTTCTCACTGTGTCCGATTGCAACCACCGTGTGTCCGTTTCCTACTGTGTCCGATTGTCACTGTGTCCGATTGCAACCACCATGTGTCCGTTTCCTACTGTGTCCGTTTGTTACTGTATCCGGTTGTCACTGTGTCCGTTTCTTACTGTGTCCTTTTCTTACTGCGTCCGTTTGTCACGGTGTCTGTTTCATTCAACCTGCTATGTCCGTTTTATTCTGTGCGCATCTGGGACTCACTCTAATTTCTCATCCCATTAGCAGTATCTCCAGCACGATTAGCCCCGACTCGACCAAGCTTGGCGAAATGTGCAGAGTAGTAACTATTCCATTCCCCGTCTGTGATGGTTCCATTCTGTGTTTCCGTATCAATAATGTTTCTGGGGCAGTACATTCGGTAATTCCAATTTTTATCTTCATCACCCATCATTATGAAATTATGAAGGCAGCAAAGGGCTTCAAAGATATTTTCACAATTAGCAGGTGACATGCAGAGTGGTTTCTGTAAAATCTTCCATCGTGCAGTCAAAATTCCAAAAGTGTTCTCAATTACCCGCCGTGCTCGCGACAAACGATAATTGAAAATTCTATTTTCATCTGTCAGAGTTTTTCTTGGGTACGGTCGCATCATATAATTTGTGAGTGGGAAAGCTTCATCTTCCACAAACACATAGGGGAAGGGTATCTCTTCTCCTGGAAGTGGGCTAGGATCAGGCAAGGCCACATTTCCCAATAACAAGTCTTTTGCTAATTCAGTGTTAGCCCATACCCCGCCTTCACTTATGGAACCTGGAAAAAAAAGAAAATACGATTAAAACTTTCCACTTGGGTGATATCATTCTATAGCTACAGAAAATGCAATAAAGAACAACACCTACCATACTGTCCGACATCCACCCATGTAAACTTGTACTGCGCATCACACGTTGCCATCATAACCATGCTAAAAAACTATTTATAATTAAAATAATTTGAACCCAAATTCCGAGGTGCTTGAACCCTCATATGTCTACCATCGATGGCCCCTAGGCAGTTGGGAAACAGCCAGGATGTCATGAAGCCATCATTGATAGTCTTCCAGTCTTCATTGCTAGGAGCTTTATGGGGAAACATGACATTAAAGTAGATTATAACAGAAGCAAGCAGGGTTAGAAGACTGTACAAAAAACTCACAGCAATGCGACGGCAACACGAAGTTCCGTTGGTAGTAGTGTATGCATACTTCGCTTTTGAAGAGAAGGGTGAAGAAGTTCAACCAATATGCGAAACTGATCAGGCGACATTCGGAACAATCCAAAAAATTCTTCGCTATCAGTTTCAATCAGTTTCCTGACGAGGTTAGAATAAAAACCTTGGGCATCTCTCACTCGATTTACCGGCCGAACCCATCACCGGCGACGGCGGTTCAACCTCTTTCTCTTCAACAAGGCGTATTCCAGCAATATCAAATTATTATACATTGCAAGATACAGCATACATAAGCCGGCTATTTTCAAATCCATCTTCAGAACTTTTTCACTACATTCTCAACACGACACGGCCTATGTCCTACAACAAACGGCGAGACGCGCATGCGCGCATACGGAGAAGTGTGACTGGTTATCTGCTCCGCCGTATGACGTATTTACGAAACCTGATTATAGATGAGCCTGGTTGTAAGAAATCACGCTACGCCTTGCGTCCTACAACCTACTTTCTACTGCATACTACTACAATCTCATTGTAGAATGACCTTTATGAGCTACTAAAACCTGGCGAAACCGTTCATACTGAATGCCGACAACAAATGAACGATTTGAATCAAGCTTTGCGGGAAAAACGATCAGAATATCAAAAAAGGCAACACAAAGTGATTTTGCTTCATGATAATGCACCATCACACACAGCAAAACTGGTAAAGGAAACGATTGAGGCGTTTAGTTGGGAAATACTTTTGCATGCGGCTTACTCACCAGACTTGGCTCCATCTGATTACTACTTATTTGCATCGATAAGACACGCACTTGCTGAGCAGCGCTTCACTTCTTACGAAAATGTACGAAAATGGCTCGATGACTGGTTTACCTCAAAAAAGCAACAGTTTTTTTGGCGTGGCATCTACAAATTGTCAGACAGGTGGGAAACATGTATAGCTAGCGATGGGCAATACTTTGAATAAGAGATTTTTTATCATTTTCATACAATAAACGTGTATTTTCTATACAAAAATTCCGGTTTCATATTTACATACCTGGTAAGTACGTGGGAAACAAGATCGGAGTTGGTTCAAGGATTGTTAATATTTCCGGAGCATCGAAACTTCCAGGGATCGTGTCGTGTGATAGCATGCCTGAGCGCATCCGGCCATATAATAAGTAATAATAAATTCAAGTTTCCTTATTTATAAAAGAAGTCTAGAATGCGCGAAGTCCGCAGGACGTAACATCTAAAAAGCCTTGCAGTTGTTTGATTGTCTTCGGTTCTGGGTAAAGGGTGATAGCCTCTATATGTCTATCGCTTAGTATAACGCCCTTTTCCGAAATTTTATATCCTAAGTATTCGATATCTCGTTTAAGGGATTACATGGGTTTTGAAGGACAAAAGAAGCATATTTTCTCTAGTTTTTTTTAACATACTAAATGTATTATTTTATTCGAACTTATAGCATATGAAAGAACAACATTTCAACAAAATTTCATAAAATTTTCATCAAAAAATTTAAAAAATTCAGCCGTTGAGAGCTGGTTTTCTGAGACCCCTTCGAAAAAAGTATCCTCGCGGTGATTAGGATAACTCGTGATAACTATTTGAAATCAAAGAACCAAATATTATCTGTTAGTAGGTGAGTATTGCTCGTGATTGAACGAAGAATTAAAAAAAATTGAAATTTGAATTTTTGGCAGAGTTGTATGCAAAACAGTACGACAAACAGTATTTTCAGTGCCCGGCTCTAACCGGTCCTGGCTCCCCTGCTCCCTGCCATCACCGATGCCCGGAGTGGGCGAGAGGGCTTACCTCCTCTCCCACCCCCATCGATACGTCGAAAGCGGGCCCGAGGCGGCCGAATAGGCGGCCTCTGGCGAGCCAGTGGCCTCTCCTCCTAGGCCGGCGCCATCTCGGGCCCGCTCCCCATCCCTGGGGAGCGCCGCCTCCTCCGTCGCTTCCTGCGACGGGGTGGTCAGCGCTCCCACTCGACGGCCTCCTTGCGGGACATAATGTCCCAGCAAAAGGAGGCCGCCGCTTCCCACACCTCCTCACTCCCGCACATTGCTCTCAGCAAGTGCGGGAGCGAGAGATTCTCCCACTGGCACCCCATTGCCTGGGCGAGGACACGGCGCTGCTTACTCCATGCCTGACACTCTGCCAGGGTGTGCTGCACCGTGTCCTCCCGCGCCGGGAAGTGGTGACATCCCGCGGTGGGCTTCCTTTCAATCCGGTGCAGGTACCGACCGAAGCATCCATGCCCGGTTAGCACCTGCAACCCATCTTCCTTCTTTTTTCCCCCCTTACTGGCCTTGCTGCTGTGGCTTCCTCCGCGGATGTGGTTCCCCCTGCCACCTCTGCGTATGTCCTTCTGGAGATTGTGGGGGCGGCTACTATAACCGGGGCAAGAGGACCTGCATTGGCCCTCATTGCCTGCAGCTGCCCTTCCAGCGGTCGGTTTTTCACCCGCAGTACCCTTAGTTCCTCCCGTAGTTCCCCCATCTCCCGTCTCATTTCCGAGATGAAGTTCCCGGTTCCTTCTTGGACTACGACCCTGGCTATCAAGATCGACAGAGCGGCTTTGGAGGTCGCGACGGCGCGGTTCAGCAGTGCCACGCAGGTACCCTTGAAGGTTCTCGACCTGCGTGCCACCAGCCGGACTGTGCCGAGTGCGCATCCGACCTCTGAGGCCAGCTCTGCCGACCCGGCCTCCCTAAGGATCGCTTTGGATGAGGGGTTTCTGAACACCTCCTCAACAGGGCGTTTATCCATCTCCGATCGGAGAATGCCCCTGCTGAGGAAATGCTCCACCTCCCCTCCAGGCGTTTATCCTTTTCCTCCCTCTTTCTTACACTCTCCTCTTGCTCTTGACGTATGCCTACGCCAAAATGTGTGGTCGGTGGTCGTCCACGTGCCTTCTTTTGTGGCTCCAGTATTGGCACCTCCACTATGGAGCTAGAACCCCCGCTGCAGCTCTCCTGCTCTGTCGCTTGCCGGGTGTTTTTGGCTGCTAGATCCTCTGGATGACAACCAGTCCTGTCGGCAGAAGAACGTCAGAGACCACCACCGGTTTCCCGGTGAAAACAATATTTCTCAGTGATGCAAAATTACATTAATCTTTTCACTCAAAACCACGGTTCACGTATATATTACAAATATCGCCACTCACGTTTCATTTATTCATTATATTTAATTTTAATTGGGATGAAAGACTGACACATGTATGTATTACTATGTAATACCTCTGCCATTGCAATTGTTAACTATGCATTTTTTTGATCATGTATTTACACCCTTCCTATTCAAACTAAATATAATAAATATGAAATCCAAACGCGAGTGATGAATTTAAACACGCGTGGTGACATTTATAGTACATTACGAAGCGTATAAATTTTCAATGCGAAGATCAATGTAATTATGCATCACTGAGAAATATTGTTTTTGGAACTCGTACAGTTGTACTGAGAAGTCGCACATAGCATTCCGGAGATATTTTCGGGTATAGGATGCATTCTGTTAAAACGTGAGCGCTGCTTCGTGTGAGGTTGCACTAGAAGACTGAACTGGGAATAAATGACGCAGAACAATGTCGTCTGAACTAACCCTTTAAAATATCCTAATACGTATTCACCGAAGTTTGTCTATGAAGATTTCGTTCTCCCATTCTATGTATAGTTTTGGGTTTTGTTATTATTTACACATTCCATTTGTGTGAGTTAACACAATAAATCACAAGTATCATTTACATACCATCTATGTTAGAATGTCACTCTCAATTGTATGTAAATGTTACATAACATCATGTGTTATATAGTATTTACATGATTGAATGTAAATTCTAAAATTCCAAAATAGATGATATGTCACTGATACTTGATGTTGGCAGAGAAAGGCAGATTTACGCGTTAAATCTCGCTTTTCACTGTGTGAAAGACTTTTCATAAAAACATTGTGCAAATGCATGCATTATTGCAACTGTAAATACAATAGCTGTAATATCTTTTGTGTATTTTAATATCGCATTTTCTTCTTTGTTTGTATGTTTTGTCTCCATGACGCTTGCATGACATTACTATTCCCTTTATGCTTGCTTCTTCCTTTCCTTACATCCTATCGTTCCTTAGGAAATATAAACCAATGTCAAATAACCCCATTTCATAAGTGACTTATTCGACATTTGTTCATCATTTCCTCCTGATGGAAGAAACCACCACCGTTTCGCGGTTTCCATCGAGCGGTAATGTGGATTTACATATTCTTTTTTACTAAAACCATTTATATACACGACACAGTACATCTTCTTAAACACTGAATAGTTACTTAATTACTAATAATTACTTTATTAATAGTTTTCTATTCTTCATGCATACACAATACCACTTTTTTTTTTTTGACGAGAAGGAAATCCATCATGGATACTCTGACCCTCGGGGAAGGGCCAGGGTTATGCCGGACTCCTAGCGGCTAAAACCTCCCCGGGTGGCGCTACGAAGGGGCTGGCATCGGGGCCCCGGAGCCGCGTAACTGCTTGTCGGGGCCCCGAGTCCAGGTGACACCTTCTGTCCCTGAGGGGTGGGGTGTGGGAGGGGGGAAGTCAGCCCGAAGGCTCGCTTCAACCACCGTTCTCCTTTCCCACCCCTCGCGCCTTGTCTCTTTGGTAAGGAAGGGGGAAGCCGGCCAAAGCCAGCTTCAACTTCCGTTCCTGACCGGACAAGGCGCCGCCAATACAATGTTGTGCGGCCGGCTGAACCACCTCAGCCGGCCGCCCTACGTTGGAGGGCTGGTTGGGGCACCAGGAATCCCCGCTCGATGCCCCACCCGCTAGGGGACCTTTTCCCCCCGTAACTGCCGGGCGGTTACGGGGGGAAAAGGTCCCCTAGCCGCCGGACACTCCCACCTCCGCAGAGGAATGGGGGGATCCTAATGACCCCCTTCCTTTATGTCCGTCTGTTCGACGAACCTTGCTGGTAAGGGGGGAGAGAGAGGTGTTTTCTCCAGTGATTACATTACTGGCATCCTCTTCCCCCCTTACTATCATCCGACTCCCACCCGGGGAGTCGGAGGACTACGGTTGGGAGGTCGGAGCCGAAGTCCCGGCCTCCTCCCAGTCCTTCCATCTATAGGAGTCACTGCGGGGGTGGCTTGTAACGGTGCGACAGACCTTGTCACGACCCCATCTTCCGCGGCTCTTCCTCTCCTTGTGCTTGCCCTATGGGGGGCATCTTGCCTCCTTGGGGCCCTTCCCCCCATTTCAATCGGAGGGGGGATAGGAGGGGGAAGGGGAGGAGGTGGTGGCAGACCCACCATCCTCCTGAGTGCATCTTCTTCTGATGAATCAGCATCCCCCTCCCTACTCCTGCTCTTCCCTCCTCTCCATTGGCGGTGTCTCTTTCGCCGCCTTCGTTTCCTTCCCTTGCCTTCTGCCCTTTTCCGCATTTCCTCTGCCTCCTCCTTCTGCGTCATCACTGATTCGCAGAAGGAGGAGAATGCATCCCATTTCTTTTCCCCTTCTAAAATGATCGTCGGGAGCGATAGGTCCCGACCTACCGCCCGGATCATGACTCCGCGCTCAACCCAGGACTGCCCCGCCTGGAGCGTATGTTGCGCGGAGTCATGATCATGCCCGCAATGGAGGCAGGATGTCGTGCGCTCTTTGCCTATTCGGCACAGGTACTCACCAAAGCAGCCATGCCCGGTGAACACCTGTGCCATCCTGAATGTCAGGGTCCCGTGGGCCCTTCCTACCCATTCCTGTAGGAAGGGCTGGACGGCCTCGACGATCCTCCTCCCGTACCTGGCATTGGTCAGTAATCTCTGCCATCTCTGGAGGAGGACCTGTCGAGCCTGGTGCTTCGTGTCCCGGAGAGCCCTGGCGAGCGGTTCCCTTGCCCCCCTGTTCTTAGGAGCTCACGCTTCCTGTCGTACATATGTCATGGTCCTGTCGTACCTGTACGACAGGGCCATGAGCTCCATGGGTGGCATGCTCGCCAGGATCGTCGCCGCCACGCAGGATACAGTGCGGTAGCATCTTGCAACCCTGACCGTCAGCACCCTCTGCACTCTGCGCATTTGTGCTCGCATGAGGCAACTGGCGGCCAGGGTCTCCGCCCATACAGGAGCTCCGTAGAGTGCCACAAAATTA